AAACACATGTAGGACAATATCCAAATGGGTTTTTAACATTTTGATACTTGAGTATAAGTGTAATTGGTTTCTTTTGTAATCTGATAGACATCTTTGTTTTCTGTATTTAAAATCTTTTTTTTGCTTTTGATGCATTTTTAATATATCTCAAAATGAAAATAAGTTTTTTAAAAAAGACAGATTGCCTCAGTGGAAGAGGTGTTGGTCAATATCGCAGACAAGGAAGGAGCTGCCCTCCACGAGTCGCTTTCTGAAAGCACCTGCCTCTCAGCTTCTGGGAGTGTGCTCTGCAGGTGGCCCTCAGCTGGCAGCCACTCCAGGGCCTGATTCAGCTGCGGAAAGACTCCAGGCCCAGGGTCACACCCTTCCCTGGTGGCCCATATCCAGTGACTGGTCCATTTGCCCCACACGCAGGACAATTCTGCAGGGGAATTTTAGCTCCAGAGCCCCTATGGGGTTAGCTGAGGTCTCACTTCTGTTTCTGCCCCCTCCCTTCCAAAGGTGTGGGTCCCTAGGGTTCTCTGTAATAGACATCTTGTTGTGGTGGTTAATTTCACATTAGTATGTGAGTACATACAATTAGGTTACATAGTTTACTTTTGTAAGGCTAAAGTAGGAGTTGTAGTTGTGGCCTTCACCCAAGAAGTGTGCACTGCACCCACTGGGTGGGAACTTACCCAGGACCTTCCATCCTCCCACCCTCTACTTGAATAGATATCTATTTCTTAAACTCCATCTCAGGCCATTCCCCAGGGGGAACAGCACCTGTAGCAGCACTGAAGAAATGAGAAACAGGGTCAGAGAGACCAGCATAGCCAGTCCCTCAATTCCCCCCAGCCCGGGGAGAGGAGAACAGTATAGCCCCAGACCCTCCCGCCTTCTTGTTGACACTCCACAAGGAAGGTGCTGAGGTTGACGAGGCCAAACAGATCACAGTCTGTCTGACCCCAAGTCACTGACCCTGAGTCACGAGTATGAGTTGTCCAGCACCGAGGAGCCAGGGTCAGCTGCCCTGGATTACATATCAGCAGTACGTCTTCTCTCCCCCATATTAGTTCATCGACCTTCCTGGCTGAGATGGTCAAGGCCCTGACCCCAGCAGCCACGTCAGAGAGGCCTCCTGCCCGCCCTGTGGGCACATTGACCTCACCCAAGCTAATACATGCACATAAATTACCATAGCACAGTGTCCCTGTCTGGCCGTCATTCCTTCCTATGTCCAGCAGCTCCCCATCTGAAGGTATGCTGGGTCTCATTACAGATGCTTGGAAATACCAGTGGACAAAACAGACAGAAATCCCTGGGCTCCAGGGGGTTATGTGCTAGTGGAGGAGGAGAAGTTCTAAGTAGCAAACAGATTCCAATAGGCGAGGAAGTAAATATGAACTACAAGCATATTTCAATGATGCTCAGCATATTGCAGTAGGTTAGCGAGCGCTGTGAGTGCAGGCTTAGGGTGGTCGGCATAGACTTCTTTGTGAGGAGAGAAGCCGTGTGGTTATCTGAGGGGCATTAGATTTCTATTGCTAAATTTCCACAAATTTAGCAGCTTAAAACACCATTCACTTATTTTGTCACAGTCTGGGCCCAGCTGAGCTGAGTCTTCTGCTCAGGGCCTCCCAAGCAGCTGTCCAGGTGTCAGCCAGGCTGCGTTCCTTTAGGGAGCACAGGAGCACAGGTGACTGTTGGCAGAATACATTTCCTCGCAGCTGTCAGTCTCAGTGGCTTCCTCCTTCAAAGTCAGCAGAGGAAAGTCTGTGCTACACCTAGTCCACGAGAGGCCTATGCCTTCTTTTTTTTTTTTTTTATTGTGTCAGGTTAATTTGAGGGTACAAAGAATTAGGTTGCAATGTTTGCATTTTTAGGGTAGAGTCCTAAAGCATTAAGAGGGTAGAGTCCTTCTTAAAGTTGTGTCCAGCCCCCGAGAGGTGTGTCATATCCCCTAAATTGTGCCCATTAAGTGGGAGCACTCCCATTCCTCTCCCTCCCTCCTCCCCATCTCCTCTCCCTCGTGCCCCTGTCCCATCTTGAACTGAATTGAATTTTTCTCTTATGTGGGTGTGTATTAGATTGTCTACTGGCTTCAGATTAATAGTGAATACACTGGATTATTGCTCCCCCGTTCTTGTGATACTTTACTAAAAAGAATGTCTCTAAGCTCTCTTTTGAAGGGTTCATGTGTTCGGGTCTCGGCCCCACCAGCATCACCACCCTTCTAACACAAAGTCAGATCGATTAGGGGCCTTTCATTACATCTGCACCATTCCTCACCTTTGTCATATATAATCATGAGGGTGGTATTGCATCCATTCTGCTGTATTTTTCTAATGGTTAGAAGAAAGTTATGGGCCAAGTGTGGTGGCTCATGCCTGTAATCCTAGCACTCTGAGAAGCTGAAGCCTAAGCAAGAGTGAGACTGCATTTCCGCTAAAATAGAGAAAATTAACCAGGTGTGGTGGTGGGTGCCTATAGTCCCAGTTGCTTGAAAGGCCTCAGTAGGGGGGTCACTTGAACCCAGGAGTTTGAGGTTGCTGTGAGCTGTGATGATGTCACAGCACTCTAGCCTGGACAAAAGAGTTATAGGTCCCATCCACAAAGAAGTAGGAGATGATTACACCAAGGTGTAGCTACCAGGGGCTGAGACGGGGGTCATTTTAGCATTCTGCCTACAGAGGAGGGGGCACATTCTAGGCAGTGGAAACAGCAAGTGCAAAGGTCCTAAGGCAGGAAAGTGTCAGCAAGGAGGCCAGTAGGGCTGGGGCAGAGTGACCTGTGACCTGTGATCAGAAAGGCATCATGGGACTGAGTCACACAGGGCTTGGGCTTTCCTCCAAATGAAATGAGGAACCTGAGAGGGCTCCAAGACAACTTTGAATAACTTTGTATATTGTGTCATAAAAAGGTCATGGGGCAAAGATGGAAGCAGGGAAGCCAGTGAGAAGGCTATTGCAGCACCCCCTGTGAGTGACGGTGGTGGTAGGGGATGTTGGGAAGTGACCAAATTCTAGGTGCATTTTGAAAGAAGGACCAACTGGGGTTTGCTGATGGATTAAATGTGGGAAAAGGAGGATTCAAAGTGACTCCAAGGTTTCTGGCCTAAGCAATGCAGAAAGACACAGCTGTTATTAGCTGACATGGGAACACTGAGGGTGACACTGATTTCATTTGGGAGAGCAAGGACTAAGCGTGGACACATTACATTTGAGTCTATTACCCATCTGAGGAGGACTTGGGCAGCCATTGGCTGTAAGAGTCTGGAGTTCAGGAGAGAGGTGTAGGCTGAAGGTATATAAAGTTGAAAATGATCAGCACAAATTTTTTTTTTGTTGATTTTTAGAGGCAGGGTCTTGCTGTTGCCAAGGCTGGGGTGCGGTGGTGGCGTGATCATAGTTCACTATAGCCTCAAACTCCTGGATTCAAGTTATCCTCCTGCCTCCATCTTCTGAGTAGCCTGGGACCACAGGCACCTGCCACAGGCTTGGCTTTGTTTTATTTCTTTTAGAGATGGCGTCTTGCTATGTTGCCCTGGTTGGTCTCAAACTCTTGGCCTCAAGCAATCCTCCCTCCTCAGCTTTCCAAAGTGCTGGGATTACAGGCAGGCATGAGCCAACTTGCCTGGCCAAGAATTTCACATTACTATCTAGTTCTTATTTAAGTTTTCCTAGTTGTCAAAGATGACTTTTATAGCATTTTTTGAGCCACATTCCAACCGAGGCTCATATGCTGAATTTAATTGTTTCATCTCTTTTATTTTTTTCTCTTAATCTAGAAGAGTCTTTCTACTTTTTTTCCTATGAAATTGACTTTAGGAAAAGCTTGAGAACAGTTGTCACGTAGAATGTCCTGTGCTCTGGAGCAGTACAATGGTTTCCCCATGACATTTTGAGTCAGGGTGTCACCTTGGCAATGGCCCTTCACATTGCATCACTTTGGGAAGCTTC